CCATGTCCCTTGCATCGGACTGAAGTCCGGACTAACTGCATCGGACCAAAGTCCAGAATTGACTGGGACCTTGTCCCCTGCATCGGTCCGAAGTCCGAACTAACTGACTAGGACCATGTCCCCTGCATCGGACCGAAGTCCGGACTAACTGCATCGGACCGAAGTACGGAACTGACTGAACATAGAATAGCATAACATATCAACTAGCATGAACACATATACTGCATACTGCATCGGGTCGTAGCCCGGAACACATAACACATAGATCCTGTTTGAGCCACGAAGGCATCAAACATACTAACTACTACATTGGACCGAAGTCCGGAAACTACTACTAACTTAAACGGGCCGGCATTGTAGCCTTAGACCCGTTCCTACTGGAAGGAAACTCACCTTGAAGAACTGACCGATGAAGGCTTGCACAAGAAATCCCTTACTACTGCTCCGACTGCTCCCCGGCTATCATGACCAATTTAAAACACTAAATCAGAATAAGGATTCCTTCTATGGGTAAAATAACTACTTTACCCCCAGCTATGGTGTGGGTCATAACAAAGACCCAAAACCTTTAATTCTTCTAAGTCCATCAATGGCCCATTAAAGGCCCCCTAATGGCCTAATTTTCTAAATTGGGCCTAACTCCTCATAGGGGCCCTTCTTAAGCCCAAAAATGTCCCTGGCCCATAATCTAACTGACTTCTGATGGCCCACTAAGGCTTCATAGTCCCAAAATCCACAACACAGCCTACACCAAGGCCCAATATGCACAAAGCCCAACTCTGCTGAGTACACTGGGCGTACTCCATCGTATGCTAAGCGTACTGGCCTGCTAGCGAGTATGCAGGGCGTACCTTCACTTACGCTCGGCATAACCATCCTGTTAAGGCACTTTTCCATTAAGTGCTTAATACCCCACTCCAGAGGCTACTAACTCAAATCCAGGTCCTTACTGACGTCTTAGTCCATAAAGTCACTAACTTGGTGACTTGCAATCCACCAAATACACTCAAACTCAAAAAGGTGACCATACACTTCTAAAACCAAGGCTAGATCTCATGCATGAGCTCATTGGGACCATAAAGATCGAGAATTTACTGCTTATAGGGAACTTTTAGCTCTAAGGGTGGCAATCCCAAGCTTGAAGGCGAAGTTACATCTTAAAGGTCCAACCTTTGGACCTAAAAAGATCCCAAAAGCTCCCTAGATCTAGATCTAAGCTTCTAAGAGGAAAGTTAGAAACTTTATACCTTCAAGAGCTTGCAACTGAGCTAAAGAACTTGGATCCAAAGGCTCTTCCTTGATCAATGCGACCTCAAGATGGTCACTCCACCCCAAAACCACCAAAATGCACACCAAATGGCCTTACAATCTCCAAGAACACTCTAGAGAGTTTAGGGTTTCGTGGTGGCTGAGTGAGAATGAGAAGGAAGCTGAAAACTAGGGTATCATGTTCTTTATATAGTGACTTACCCAAAAATTAGGGTTTTGAGACTCTGAGCATACGTTGGGCGTACGCCTACCCGGACCAGTGATCACTTACTCTTCTACGCTGGGCATACAACAGCCTTACGTTGGGCGTACCCAGCTAAACACATGTGCACTACATACGTGCAAAGGGGCTGCCTTGCCAATTTTTCCATTAAGGGTCATTATTGTCAACATCTTCAAAGTGTTGTAACTTCTTTATTCTTGATCCGTTTCCGACGAACTTTATGTCCACGGAAAGGTGACGAGAAACCCTACGTTTCTAACGCCCTTGGGCTTGGCCTCTGAAATTCCATAAACGAATATTTTAGAACATGGTGTTACACTCCATACTTCATATACACACCGGGAATACACTTTTAAGGGTAAAGTTTCCAACTTTACCTGTTGTTATCCCTTCCTAATGGATTTAGCTCAAACCCTAACTCTCTAGAACATAGATCTTGGTCCACAAGCCATAATACTCTAAACCAAAGCACACTATAATAGATCTAGGGCTTAGACATCAGTTGGGGATGTAAAGTTCCTAGCTTTCCTTCCATGCATGGCCTTTTAGGGCTAAAAAGGCCATAATAACATAGTTAAGCTTGCATGAGGCTTCTATGGGGTCATAAAGTTTGCACCTTTATGCCATGGAACCCCTTCTAGATCTTATATCTGAAATGTAAGTTACTTGGGATGTCCAAATCCCAAGGACCAAGGTTCTTGAACCAAAACCCTCATAAAATGGAAGTAAGTAGATCTAATGAATGAATGGTCAAGTTAGAGATTTGATTACCAGAAAGTGATGAGGATGGAAGGAAATCCGAGGATCTATAATCTTCTCCTTGAACCTTGTGGCTCCTTCTTCTTCTTCTAGCTTCAAGAGCACACAAAATTACTCAAGAATGGCTCACACACTCACAAAATGCTCTAGGGTTTCGTGGATAAGGGTTTAGGACTTCGAGGTTGGAAATGAGGCCAAAAGGTAAGGATTAAGATGCTTAAATAAGGTGCAAAACCTTGAAATTATGGTTTCACTCTGGCAGACCTACTCGCCGAGTCAAGGGCTCTCGACTCGTCGAGTAGATGGCTGAAAACCCGCGTCCAAGACTCGGTTCTACTCGACAAGTCTGGGGCTTCTAACTCGTCGAGTAGCTCTATAAAAATGAATAATTTATAAATAAATGCGATCCAAAAACCAGGCGTTACATCATCTCATGAGGTTCTAGGGCCTTCCTTCCTAAACTTTCAATAAATAACCAAACAATCCATGTACTTTTAAATAATTCAATTAATCCTAAAATTAATTTTAAATAAATTTTGATTAATTATTAATTAAATAATATGATTTCTAATTAATATATTATTTTCATAATACATTAATAAACCATTTATTTAATTTATTATTCACATAATAAATTAATCTCTCTTCCCCCTCTCTCTAAAGTCATCCTGTCTAATTGCTAGGTTTGAGGGGAACCCAAAAGGACTGTGCTACTATCAATTCAAGTATATACCAATTTTAGTTATGTGCTTAGACACCTAATCCAACAATGTCGACATGGTGTGGTGAGGTTGAGACCGTACTACTTTGTGTTGTCAATCAATAGACCGGGGCATTCCAACCGAAAGGTTGTGGGCCAGGGCATTCCAACCGGAAGGTTATGTGTTAGGGGTAATCCAACCGGGAGGTTGTGGACCCGATATGTATTAGGCAATGAAACCGAAAGATTATGGGCCAGGGCATTCCAAATGGAAGGTTGTGGGCCAAGGGTAATCCAACCAGGAGGTTGTGGACCAAATATTTGTTTGGTTATATGTTTGTGTGGTGGTACCTTGGGGGATCTCACTAAGCTTTCATTTACAGTTTTAGTTTATTGTTTCAGATACTTCAGATGATCGTGACAATATGAAGGTGTGAATGTGCACATCTTTTGGATTTTATGTTATTGGATTTTGAGATACACTGATTTATGAATTATACTTTTGAAACAATGTTTTTGTAAACAATTATTGTCTTGAGTTTGTCTTGGAAAAATAAAATTTTTACTCTGATTTTTGGGATGTTACAATAATGGACATGTTAAGATAACATTCATGATATTATTCGAATATTTCATAGTTTTTGCATGCGATATTTGAAGTGTAGAAAAATGTTTCTTTAATTATTTTCAAGAGTTTATTTTTTTAATGGCAACCAGAGTTTATTTGTCATGGAATTTCAACTATTTTTCTAAATCAAAACCAGTTATATCTATTTAATGTTTAACATCATTTGTAGTGTTTTTGTTTTGGAGTGATGGAGAACTTATATAAAATTTAGTATAGTTTTGTTTAAATTCATGATTTGTAAAGATTTCCTTATATTGTGTATATCCTCTCTAGGTTGTGTTAGGTTTAAATTGTAATCATGGCTTTGTGCATTCTCTCTATGAGAGTTTTATTAATAAGTCTTTGTTAATTTCTTGTTTTGTTATTGGTTGATGTATGTCTCTAAGATCCAACAAATTTAAACCCGGCGTAAGTGAATTAACTGACTTTGTCGAATTTAACTTTTAACAACTAATCACCCGTTCAATAATAATAATAATAATAATAATAATAATAATAATAATAATAATAATAATAATAATAATATGACTTTAATAACTTAGATAGTTTAGTTTAAAAAATTATACTTAACGTCAGTTTCGGATAATTGTAATCTTTTTTACAAAACGAACAAAATTTCAAAAACGTTAAAACATTCTTAAGTTATCAAAAAAGTTGTGGAGTTCGGAAAATTTAGTTTTTAAAAGCCGATTTCATATAGACGAACAAAATGTTAAAAAGTTATGTTTAAATAATGTAAACAAACAAATGTTATAAAGTTTAAAAAATAAACGTACAACGCCAACAAAAAATAAATTAAAAATAACATTAAAAATATATTCGATTAAAACGTCAAAAAATAAAAAGGTTTTTAAATAAGAAAAAATAAAGATAAATAAATAAATATGATTTATAATAATTTAAGATAATTTTTTTTAGATAATGGATTTAAAAAACTAAAACAAATTTATACCAAATTTATATTAATTTTAAAAAAAAAAAGATAATAGTAAAAAACATTAATAGTAGATGTTTGATAGAATGAAGTCGTAGGTGGGTATTTAAAAAAAAATTGGGAGAGATTTTTTTAAGAACCCACTAAAATAATTACCTAAAAATCGTTATTATCAATGACTATCAAATGAGATATTAAGATAGACGAGGCTTATGAGAGCTTGATTCTTTGGATTTAACAGACATATTATAAACCCGTAAATTTAATAAAAAAATGTCTACTAGATGTTAAAACCAATAATTATTTTAGAAAAGATGTACGGTTAATAAACAAAACCTCGATGGTTTTGGCTTTCTATAATTTCATATAATTTTTTTATTTTATATTATGTCAGTAATTACATCCTAATAATTAGTACGAAACTTAGTTGTACGAATCAAGTTTGTTATATAGAAATATATTAACATGTCAACTTACAATAGGGAATCATCTACATAATCAAAAACCTCATGAATAGTCCATTAGTATATGGACAAACACACATATTAGAAAAGAAAATGCACCCACTATCCTTCTGTTATTTGTTCAACAAATCTCCTTCTCCATCAAAGCATAGAAATAGATCATGAACTCTAACAAGGTTTTCAATTTAGCAGATGTCTCTCCACACAACAATAGTAAAGATTGTTGGGTCATTATCAACGCGAGGGTAAGACACAAATCAAAATTAACATAAACCCGTTTGATTACATCATTTTGTTTTTGACTTATGTAATTGATCATCTAGGTGTATGATGTTACAAACTTCTTGAATGATCATCCGGGAGGAGATAACGTGTTGTTAGATGTAGCAGGTAATTATACATTAACGTATCTATCTTTATATATATTGGAGTCTCTTTCTCTTCATAAAGATTTTTTTTTTTGTTGATACAATCTTAATCTTAGACTACACATAGATTTTATAGAAACTAGCTATATATAAAGACATGTTTTTTTTTGGGGGATTTTAGATAAAGTTTTGATCTTGGTGTCTTAGGTAAAGATGCAAGCGATGAGTTTGAGGAAGTGGGTCATGGGAGTGCTGCAAGATTGATGTTAGATGAGTATTATATTGGAGAAATCGATCATGTAGAAGTAGAACCTCTTTATGATATTTCCAAGAAGTTGGCTTCTAAATATAACAAAAATACCAAAAAACAACAAACCATCACCAAGGAAGACAAAGGATTGGGGATAAATTTGACAATGAAGTTCATTTTGCTCGTTGTTTCCACAACAATCCTCGGAGTAGCTATTGGCTTTTTGTTGTACAAGTGATGTGAAAAAAAAAATGTTATTTTTTGTTGATAATAATAATTATATGTGTTTAAAAGTCCTTTTTGTTGGTTACAAATATGTACGTTCATAACGTGCACCATATATTGTTTTATGACTAAGTGTCATAAAGAAAATGGGAAGATCATCATAGTTAATTGACTATTATACCCTTTTGGGATGATGGAATTGGGTGGGTAATGTCAAATTTATAGCACATTAGTGGGAGGCAATATATCATGGTTAACATCTCCACTAGTGTATTAAACTCGGTCAAATATTCAATAAGGCAATTTTATTCGTGTCAAGCATTTCAAATTCAAGGCAGAATGGCAAACAAAGTGTTGTGCTTGGATGTCCAATAAAATTATCTGTTTTATGACAAAATTATAACAAGATAGAGTCATGAAGAAATAGATAATATTGTATTCCTTCCTACACAATTTGCGAATTGAAAATTGTTTACCAAACCTAAACACCTACAATAAAAACAACTTTATTTCTTAGATCTCGAAGAAGAAAGGATTCTTGAGTCTCCAAAACCACATCAAATCCCATTTTGCCACTAATTTCAATATAAATTGGTTTAACTCAACACCATTTATTATATCAAAGTTTGTGTTGTGTTGATGGATAATGAAACAACATACCAAAAGGTTTTTGGCTTAGCGGTAAAGAATGACTCTTTCAATTAAGAGATCATCGTTAAAAACATAGGTGGTAATTTAGAAGTATATTAGTCGTTTAAAAAAAATGTTAAATTAATAATAAATTTGGTGTTGAAACTTTCTTTGTCACTTATTTTCTATGTTTTATTAATTTACTATTAAATTAATCTCATACAAAAAGATCATCAAAAACTTTCAATTTGTTCTTTATGTTTTTCGCCTTGTCTTTAATAAATGAACCAAGTTTTTTTTACGTTTTATTATATCACTAGTTGTGAAACTCATGTATTACATGAGTTAATTTTTAAAAAAAGTTATATATAAAAGTCTAAATATTTGAGAACTTTAAATGTATAAGAAAATAAGAAAAATATTGAACTATTAAAATTGAAATTTTTTTTTGTATATTTTAAATTTAAATAAATAAACAAAAGAAATTAATAAGCTTTAATTTGAGAATTTTGATATTAGAAGATAAATCTATTAATAAAATTGATATCTATTTATTATTATACTTATTGTAATTATTACATTAAAATATTATATAGAATTTAATAAAATAAAAAACCCATAAAATGACATGCGGAAAAAAATCAATTCAAAATAACCAAAAAATAACATTTGACAAATTGAATGAGAATGTGACATGTGACAAAAAAACATTCATTTATTAGAGATGATTAACTTCAACCCGACTAAGTGTGCGATGGAACCTGTTTATTTAAGTTCATGCAACCGTTTTATCCTAACTACAAACTATTAAGATTCGATAACAAAAAATAACATATGACGCTACGTAAATATAATGTTGTAACAAAACATACAAAACATAATAACTTATTATTATAAAATAAACGAATTAAAGACTAAATTTAAATTTATTGATTACCATTTTGTAACATAAACTCTTTATTAAGGACGTGTTTGATAGAACACTCTAGTTTAAACAAAAAACTTCATTTGGTAGAACGAGTGTTTAACTTTTAGTTTAACAAAAAGCTCCAAAATTAAAAAACTACTTCATGTAGCGTTTAACGAAACGCTACTAAGCTTTTGAAATCAATTTCCATAATTACCCTTAATAAAAATTTGAAAAAAATAATCAAGTATAAAGTAACCGGGAGTTCTAATTAAGTCCTTATTTCTAATCAAACATAATCGTTGTCTCTCGAATAGTTAGTTGAGGGAAAAAAAATTTTTTTTTTTTTTTGGGTGTTAAAACGGGGTTAATGAATTGGAAAAAATGCTTTTTGCACTAAAAGTATACAATTTTTATCATTTTGAAATCAACACATGCATTTTTTTTAAATATATAGAAGTTACAAAGGATCTTTGGGCAAAAGTTAAATCAATACATTTTTTTTGTATCTATTATATCTGAGACATAATTTGGAAGTTATTGCTGGAAAACTGCAACAGGATAAGATACAAAATTAAAATTTAAACAAACATAACTCCATAATAATTGATAATTCAAAATAAAATAAAATAAAAGTACAGACTGACACAATAATAGAGAAGACAAGATTCTTCCCAACTCAACCCCACCACCCAACACCAACACCAACCCTTTTCCTTTCTCACAAGCAGCTAAAAAAAACATGTTCACATATATATATAACCACAACACACTACTATTTATCCATTTTTGAAACATCAAGATTCATTATGTTTCATCCTTTTCTATTCACATAAGGCCAAATCGGTCATTTTATATCACCAAAAAAAGGGATCTTCATAGTTTTTTCATCATCAGTACAAAATATAGACAATCAAAACTAACTTAAGGCCAAATCGGTCATTTTATATCCCCTCTTTTTTTTTTTTTTGAAGACCTTCTTCTTCTTCTTCTTCGTGTTGTTGACTTGTTAGAAGCTCTTGTCTTTATGTTACAGATCTTCTAGTCTACAATCTGCACTAGGGTTTTTCATGTTCTTTCTTTACAAATCACCCACATAAACATAATCATAATCATAATAAACCTAATCTACACCTACATCTACCAATATCTTCAAACTACGCTAAAATCGTGAACAAAGATTAACTTTTCTTGATAGCATCATCCACTTTCAACCATTCATAACGCCCATTTAAAGGCTTTTCGTTTACAGGATCAAAGTTGTACCTAAACAAACATAATCAAGAATCAATAAATAAACAAAACCCACTTGGGATTTTCATAATTATTTTCGAATAATAAGTGAAAAAAAATGTATATATACTTCTCCATGAACACTCTTTGCTGATGTTTTTCAGGCTCTGTGAAGAATTCATCCATTTCAGTTGTTGATGGAATAGGCCTTGCTGTTGTATTTTGTACTCTGTTTTTTCTGTTTGGTTTTGTGGATGAACCTGGAGTTATAATTATGTCCGGATTCCTAATCAAACTGCATGGTGTTGTTTCTCGAGTAGTTCTGTGATAAATAATGAAAAAAAAGCAGCCATTTTTATCAAGAATGATAAAAAAAAAAAATAATAATAATAAAGATCCTCTGAACATCAAAAGACAAAGTTAACTTGTAATCAAACCAAAAAGAGAGTAATGCATGGAGACAATAGCACGATTGAAATTTGAAGCGATTCTGTGTGATAAATAGTAGACATAATGTTCTTTTCTTTAGAGACAAATAAGTATCACAAGAAAGGAATAAAATTCTGAGAAATTACAAGTTCCAAAGAGGTTTTTGCATAAATCCCAGTAAAAAAACAATTCACTACATGACCAAAATGCCCTTGTGATTTGTGAATCGTGAATTGTGAATTGTGAATTGTGATCGACATAATTAATGTCAACGAACAATTATGTAGTTATAATAAATAACACATTCATGAATGAGAACTAATTATAAAATGTAATTTCTAAAAGTAAAGCCAAAACTTCAGATTTTTTGTAATCTTTTAGGCACACAAAGCATTGAAATATAAAACCAGGGGACAAATTAGAAGGTTAAAGAGGTATAAAGTAACATAAATCAAGATTAACACGAAAAATCGCGACTTTCGATTATACAGAAAAGGAAAAGAAAACAGAGCCCAATTTGGATAAAACTATGAAATTAAGTAGGTAAGAAGAGTATTATTTGACGCTAACTTCAAAGATCAAGAAAGATGGTGACATAACAAGAGAGCATCGTCGAATTTCAGAAATCGTATTCCTAAATTCACGTTGGATATGTTGTTTGTGTTATTATAAATAATGGAGTAATGATTGTACTTGAGGAACTTATAGAACAGAGTTGATGTACAAAAGAAAACAGACGTCATCTATTCCTTGAAATCCAGAACTTTTTTTATTTCCAAACATGGGGAAAATTAAATTAAATAAAGAAAAAAGGATAAAATTTTAATTACTTCACTTTCTTTTCCTCAACAAGTCACTGGAAATAACCAGAGAATGACAGGGAACTGAAAAGCCCTTTTAAAGGGACTTTTTAGGGATGAGAATTACTAAATAAACAGAAGTTCAAATCCCGAAATGTTTTTTTTGTTTTTTTTTTTTTTGAATTAGGTGAAAATTTCAATTTTATTTGGCGTGATTGAGAAAAATATTGGAAGGAATAATAATTCAGAGCTTTTAATCAAGAATAAAATTCTATCAAGAAACCCTAATTCATGGGAAGCAAAAAGAACTAGCAGTCTTTAAAAAGCTCTTTTTCAGATCAAGAAAGTGAGTTAATAATTGAAATATGGCAGAAAATCGAAAAACAAAGGAAACCCCACTTCCATTTGATTAAGAAATTATCTAGAAGGAAAAAAAAAAAACAAAAAAAAGAGAGGCTAATTTGAGAATTTCAATCAAGAAATAAGAAAAAAGGCAAATCCAGAAAAACCATCACGAAAATAAATTACTAGACTCCAATTAAGCAAAATGGATTTCAGAAATGAAAGGAAAAAAAAAAAAAAAAAAACCCACCTTCCTCTACCTTCCATCTCCACCATGTTTTCCCCAAATGAACCTTCTTCATCGTCAATTTCGAAATCTACAGTACCCTTAATCTCAGTTTTTTGACGAATCTCTAGCTCCCCATAAAAAATTTTCTCATCAACCTTCAGCGTTGAAGAATTCGCTCCTCGTAAAGAAGCTTTATTAGGGTTTGTCAGGGCGCCAGTCTCCTTCTGTTTCTTCTCAGAAGTTGGCTTGACTAGACGGCGGCTACGGAGTTGAATGTAGGAACCGGCGCCGATAGAGGCAACAGCAGCGGTAGCTTTTTGAAGAGCTAGGGTTTTTGCACGGGTAAGAACACCGCCTAGTGAAGGTACTTCCATTAACGACACTTCCCCTGTAGTCTTCGACTTCCTCCTCATATACTTGCCCATTATTTGATTCCTTTTATTCAGAGCTGTTCGTTTTCTGGCAGTGTTGTTCCGACGTTGACTGATTTTAAGCTTCGAATCTACCTGAGTTGGGTGAGAAAGATGGTTTTCCGTTGTTGGTTGGAGCGGAGAGGGGAGCCGTTTGCAGTTGAGAGAGAGAGAGAGAGAGAGAGAGAGAGAGAGAGAGAGAAGAGGGTAATTTCGAGTGTGATTTCTGTTTAAGGCGAACAAGGGTTTGGGGATTTAACCATTTCTATGACCATAGTATTCGAGAAACAACATGAAAATTGTAACATCCACATAATTCACCCCTGAATTCTTGTTATTTTTATCATATAATCTTATTATTTATTTTATTTAACAAACTTTTTTTATTGAACGATTTAAAAAATTAACTAATTTATCATTATTTGTTTTATTGTTTTATCACACTTTCACATATAACTTATAATTCTATTAAAAATATATTGTAAATTTCTCAGATTTTATTTTTTGGAAGTATAATAATAATATTTTTTTTATATAATTATAAAAATACAAAAACAATAATATTATATAAACATAATATAATATAAATTTTAATATCTTTCATTTGAAACGTTTTGAACATTTATTTTTAAATTATATAACTTTTTATAAAATATATTTTTATTTATTAAATTAATTGATTAACTAATAAACAAAATCTAAGATTTAAATATACGTAGGGTAAAAAGTAAAAAAAAAATGTTTATTAAATCTCTCTATCTAATAAACAAAACTAATATGCCACATGTCCTTTAAAAACTACTAATTTCATCCAATGTTAAATACCACTTTTGCCCCTGTTTGATTTCACCTTCTGTAATCACGTTATCCCCTAATCTTGCATATATCGTGTGCCGCTTCTTAATTCGTATACAATATTCAAAATTGAAATCCAAAATCGTAATTCTTCATCTTCCCAATATCTCGCCAAAACCCTAGCCATGGAAGCCGCCTTTCTTCCTTTGAACTGACGAATTACACTGCTACGATTAAGCTCTCCTTTCTTTGATTTATCAGGTATGATATTGATATTTATTCGATTTCTCCTTCTGAAAAACATGCCTACATCTATTACCCTTGAACATCAACCACCATCGCAACTTCAGTCTCACATCTTCACCACCGAACAATCAACACAATCACATCTCATTCAGCAATTGATCATCAGGACATATATGTAAGGTTAAAGTTGTTTTTTTTTTTTTTTAAATATTCACCCTTTTCATTATACCCAAAAGTATTGATTGTTTTAGTGTTTGGTTTCCTTTATTGATTCAGGTTGAAATGACTATGCATGTGGGTTATGTGTTTTCTCTTAAGACATGGGTTTTGCATCTTCTATGTGTCTTTCTACATTCAGGAAATAGTTTTCTTTGTCACAAGTTTTAAGTATTTTGTTTTATTTTCTTTGTTACAAGTTTAAAATATGAATTTCTCCCTTCTTGGTGGTGTTTTCAACGCTAGATCTGATCAATTTTAAAGCATCTGCTTTAAAGTTACAGGTGATACACATGATGGATTGGAGAGAACACGAATCTCACAAAATGTTTGGTTTTTGACACTTGTAATCCATATGAAATTTTGATTTGCACAAACTTGTGTTTCCAGTTTTGTAATTAAAAGTCTCAAACTTTGACTTTGTTGGAAAATGAGAAACAATTGGAGTATTAGACATTGGTTTTTGAATGGTTTTTCCAAACATAACATTTGAGTGGTTTAGAATGAAGCTTTAGTTGGTTGGAGGTGATTTTGCTGGAGGGTTTTCCTCACAAAAGCAAAAGTAAGTTCATGTTTTCTTGCAATGTCTTGATAAAAGATTGAAAACACAATGTTATAATTTAGTGTATTTTTCAAAACCTAATGTCTTGGTACGAGAACAAGTTTGAAACTTTAATGTTTGGTTGAATATTTTAAAGTGCAAGATCGTAATGAGTGAAATATTGAAAATTGGGTAGATCTTATCATATTTAATCATTTGTTTTATGTCATGCCTCCAATTACTGACTATATTTTGTTTATCTGTGTGCAGAAAATGCAAAGGTTGTTTCCATTGATATTCAAGTCGGGAAGTTGTTTATACAAAGAAACTACTAGAAGACGCCACTCATTGACCAAATGCTACAAGAGTCGTGTTGTGAAGTTATTAATGGGCTAAGAGGTAACCTGCAGTTTTGCGTTTTTCATACTATAGAAGATTAAGCAGGTAATTTTGAAATAATTGATTTTATTCTTTTTTATGCTACATGAGTTTTAATGATGCTATTGATGGATTTAATGATGACAGGTGGTCATTAATGAAATGTGATAGCGCTGAATATGAGGAGGTAATGATATAACCCCATGTATGTGTGTGGCTCTTACTATGATTTATCATTTATCAACTTTTCAACAATTTCAATAATGCATCTTTATTTTTTTCAACTTAACATCTAATGCGTTCAAGGTTTGTTATAGGCATCGTTTAAAAAAACGTGAGAAACGCACGCTCTGAGGCGCGCCTTGAGGCGAATCGGAGGTTGATCGAACTAGAGGCGCCGCCTCAGTGGTAAGATTTGGTACGCACGCCTCATACCAGTGAAGCGCATAGGAATCGATTGAGGCGGAACGCTTTCCAGATGCGTACGCCTTCAATTTTTGTTTGACTATTTTGAGTTTTTTACGTCGACTTCATTTATACCTTTGTTTTATTGACCGGTTTTATAATAAAACTGAAAACCCGTTTCATTTATTGACCTAATCACCTTATTTTATGTTTTTGAATGTGTTTTTTTATAACTAATGGATTTGATGGTGAAATTAGCTTAAAAGGACATGTTTAGTATCTTATATATATATATATATATATATATATATATATATATATATATATATATATATATATATATATATATATATATATATATATATATATATATTGTATTCCGCCTCGGGGTTACGCCTCACTCCGCCTCGAGGCTTACGCCTTAAGGCGCGATTCCGTACTTTTAAACCTTGGTTATAGGGATGATTTGTATACTTTTTATTCTTGATGTCAATAACTATTACGTGGATTCCATTGTTAAGACATATCTGCATGGCACTAGGCCTTTACATCTTAAAAACATTTTGAATAAAGTTCAATAATTTACACTTTTGAAATAATTTACATCTTCAAAAAATTTATGGATTATTATGTGCTTTTGGAGGATGAATATCAACTAATCCAAACATCAATTGGTATGATCTTAACATCTTTTGTATAAACATTGGGCACACCAAATCGATTCAGCTTTCTTTCTGTAAATTCAATAGTCTGTTGTTCATACAACTTTTGTTATCATGGAAGACTTCACTTGGTGTGAATACTTAGGGGTGATGATAAATTAACTGCTAAAAAAAACTATTTGGGGATGGTCTCCATGATGCATTCTGTGCAAGCCCCTTTGTTAATCTCTTCTTTGTTCTTATGCTACTGGGGCTCATAAGATATTTTTAAATTTGCTTGTGTAAAACTATATATAGTTGAATGAAATACATTATGGAAAGTTTCTAGAATATTTAAGTTTATAAAAAACAATTGTTTGCAATCTATTATTAATTACGATATGAGTTATATAGTATATGAATTAAATGTTCTAATTGTATTGAAATATAAAATTTGGACATGTTATACAAAGTCTGTAAATAATTATTATCGAGATGATTAAATCTTTTAAAGAATTACAAAAAAAATTAATCTAGGTATTTAGAGTTATGTTTGTTAATTAAATTATCTAATCAAATACTTGAAATGAACATTTGTTTTTCTTTTGTTATTTAAATTATTATTAAATGTATAGTGCTTATACATCTTTCTTTGCTGTTAATTGTTTAGGCACGTGGATGCACCAAGTGAAAATGATGTGGTAATGGTGTTTTTTTTTTTATTTAAATTTATATTGTATTGTACGAAATCATAATTTTATTAAATATTTATACATACATAGATGGGATATTCATAACAATGCATATATTAATTTTTATTACTAAATTATAAAAGTCTAAACAAAACTTATATCTTATTAATTTAATAAAATTTATAAATCTTTGATTTTTCATTATAACTTTGAGTTATCAATATTATTTTTCTTTTTTACCCGTGGTTTCCGCGGGTTGTAACCTAGTTAATTAATAAATCTAATAAAAAGAATCTATTAAGTATTTATGGAATGCCATTTTAAAAAAAAATGTTCTTCAATGGTAAATAGGACAAAATTTCATATGGTTTTTCAAAAGTAACACTTTTAAGATATCATTTGGTAATGCTACTTGGAAGATCCTTATGGTTTCTAAACATTACGCTAGTTGATCGATCAGTTGTTAAATTTAACTTTGACATGTTAATATTTTTAAACTGATAATTTTGCAATTTGAAAAATGTAATATACTACAAGAACCATTTTTGCAATTTGATTGAAATGAATAAAATCTCATTTTTATATAACTTTTTTTTAGAAAAATACACTAATATTTAATATTATTTTTTATTCTTCACTTTAAATTACAAACAATTCTTCTTTTTATCATGAATAAAATCTCTTATTGTTCAACTTCCTAATTTCACAACTAATTTTTTATTTTTTTTTATTTTTAAATTAGGTAAAACTATTATTTCCATAGAACCAAGGCAAGAAAACTATAAGTATCAAAATACTGGTGTTAAATGTTAATAGTATTTTTTTTCAATCATATTTTTATACCATATTTGACATCAAAAGTATATATATATATATATATATATATATATATATATATATATATATATATATATATATATATATATAGCGTTAGGTTCATTTGAAACGACCTAATTTTGTAAGACCGTGAGACGCATTTTTTTTATTTTTTTATTTATTTATTTATTATTTTTTTAGTTAATACAAGTTTCGAAAATAATATTAAAAAAAAGAATTTTTTGGATTTTCCATTTATTTTGCATTTTAAAATTATTTTTTAGAATATTTACAATGTAATATTCTATTAAAATATTTCACGTATTTAAAAAAAAAACGAGATTTTTATTTTTATTTTTATTTTATTTTATTTTATTTTTTTAGTTAACTCAAGTTCCGAAAATAATATTTAAAAAAAAAAGAATTTTTAGATTTTTCCATTTATTTTGCATTT